TTACCAATGCTAATGAAAAATACAGTAAAACAGTAATATTGTGAAATTATTATTACAACTTCAAATAACTGTTTTCTATTAGAGTATATTGTTAAATGTAATGTATTTCTGTGATGCGCAGCTGTATTTTCAGCATCATTACTCCAGTCTTCAGTGTCACATGATCTTCAGAAATCATTCTAATATGCTGAGTTGCTGCTCAATTATCAGTTATTAAAATCGGTTCTTATTATTATTAATGTTTTTGCTGCTTAATATTTATGACTTTTTTTCTTTGATGCATAAAAAGTAACATTCTAAATGTCTTTGTCACATTTGATCAATTTAATGCATCCTTGCTGAATAAAAGTATTAATATTAGTAGTAGTATTATTAATCATACTTACCCAAAGTTTAAAATGGTATATCATGGTGTCAACAAAAATATTAAACAGCACAATACATTTTTCTTGAGCATTCAGCTTTGAGCAATAAATTATATTTTAACATACATTCACATAGAAAAGGTATTTTAAATTGTAATACTATTTCACAATATTGGAACTCTTGAAAACTTTTACGATCTTTGTAAGTGGGAAACCTTGAAAAATCGGCAGTGTATTGTTGATTACTGCATTATACTGTACCTGTTCTCTCGTTGCATTAAGGACTTTTAGTAAAAGTGCAAAACACAAACCATTTAATATTTTACTGCATTATTGTTGAGTCATGTTTTTTCATAAAAGTCTGTTTGCAAAGCATGTGTCAAATTGTGACTGGTTTACCAAATAAACCACAAACAAATAATGCTCTACTGAGACTTTCACATAGCTGAAAACAAACACTTTCCCAACATTAAGATCTTTGGAAAGTAATGTTATTTTATAGGCAAGTAATCCTGTTTTAAAGAAGGAAATTAGCATGTACAGCTGTGGAAAGGCGGGAGGGTATTTCAAACATTATTTATGCATACATCGTAACTGTAGTGTAAATGCATTCATGTCATCTCTGAGCTGCATTAAACAGTCTTATGTTGGATGGATTTTGTCGATACTTATTTTATTTGATTGCATACTGTCTTAATATCATAAATGTGTTTATTATGTTAGGATTTACATGAAAGGGGATGCTTACATTTGAAAAGGTTAGAAAAGCTGGTTAAAGGTTAAAAATGCCATGGAAGTCACATTAAGGGGGCAAATAGCACCCTGTAGTGGAAAAGTTAATTTCTATCACTGTTTATGATTTTAGTTTTTATCCTGGATTCACTGAATCTTGCAAAGTGTCCTTCTTTTTGGCAACACTAAGTGACTCAAAACTGGAAGAAACCCCATGTAGTGTGTATTCAGCTTTACTCTGTATTTGCATTCCATTTCACCCGTTTTAGTGGATTAGATCTATTTATTTTAGTTTATTATATCATCGCCCCAAAGCCACATTCGCTTCACCTCTGCCCTTAATATGATTTATAACGCACACATGATTGTGAACTTTTTTCTTAGAGGATATTGAACATTTAATCTCCAGCTACTATGCAAATATTCTGCTGGTGAACTGAATTTATGTGGTATGTTCAGCATAATTGTGCAGAAAACAAGACCCGTCACCAGCAGCCCCAGCGTGGCCTTTCTGTTTCCATTCAGAGCGAGTCTAAAACACACCCAGAACATCATTCCAAGCCTACAGAGTCAGTCTGCTTCATAATGCAGTGCTCAGCGTGTATGATCACATGGCTCTAGGTATCAAAAGAGCCCTGGGGATTTTTAAAACATATTTTTGGGTTTGTTGAGGGAAAACCCACTGAAAAGTATTTAGTAGTAGCCAACTGGAAAGCATCTGCTGAGCTTCAGTCTAATGTTTTTCTGTCTAAAAGCCTGTTCACACCGAGAATGAAATGCATCACAAATGAAAGATCTGTTCACTAAGAGAGAAATGAAAAGGCACTCTGCTCAGTCGTGTGCATTAATTCTGTACACTCTCTCACTTTAGCATTTCACTTACTTTAACAGTGACACATGACAGCCTGAACATCAGCTGATGTTTTGGTCATAAAATCCTATTTGTTTTGTCTTTGCCTATGCATTCTACTGTATAGGGTGCCATTTCTGTCCAGTTTGTCTATTTAAAGCAAAGGTTCACCCAAAAAGGAAAGTCTGTCACCATACTGCATATTCATCTTAATGGCTTTATTTTCTCTGTGAATATGCATAAGCAAATGCATAAGCATGTTAAATCTGTGTAGAGGTGGATTCAGAAGGTGTTGGACATCATATGCAGCAGTGTACTTCTCGTTGCATTTTTGTCCAGTGATTGTAGAATCACCTCTGCAATTATGTATTTGAGTTTGAGATTAGTTAGTATGGACATTGTTAACTTGGACAGACTGATTTTGTCAGTGTATAGAGTTTTGTTTTCTTGTTTTCTAGGGATGTGCCACTAACAATAGATGAATCGTGATATTTGAGTCATGATAAGATGCATATTGCAATTTATGTTGTGCATACCTTGCCAGTGTTTTTTTTCTGATTTAATAACATATAGAACACTTTGTATGTATGCAGCTATGCTACAGTAACATTCACCTCAGCACTGATAAAAAACAAAACAAGGTTCTTTTTAAAGTTGCCATTATTGCACAATAGATTATTCAGGATATTGAGTGCATCCAGATATTTCTACAGACACACACCCCTGAACTACTGTGCAGTGTGGAGTTTCATGAAGAAGAGCCTGCATCAGAATGATCTCAAATGTTGGAGAGGATATTGAACATTTAATCTCCAGCTACTATGCAAATATTCTGCTGGTGAACTGAATTTATGTGGTATGTTCAGCATAATTGTGCAGAAAACAAGACCCGTCACCAGCAGCCCCAGCGTGGCCTTTCAGTTTCCATTCAGAGCGAGTCTAAAACACACCCAGAACATCATTCCAAGCCTACAGAGTCAGTCTGCTTCATAATGCAGTGCTCAGCGTGTATGATCACATGGCTCTAGGTATCAAAAGAGCCCTGGGGATTTTTAAAACACATTTTTGGGTTTGTTGAGGGAAAACCCACTGAAAAGTATTTAGTAGTAGCCAACTGGAAAGCATCTGCTGAGCTTCAGTCTAATGTTTTTCTGTCTAAAAGCCTGTTCACACCGAGAATGAAATGCATCACAAATGAAAGATCTGTTCACTAAGAGAGAAATGAAAAGGCACTCTGCTCAGTCGTGTGCATTAATTCTGTACACTCTCTCACTTTAGCATTTCACTTACTTTAACAGTGACACATGACAGCCTGAACATCAGCTGATGTTTTGGCCATAAAATCCTATTTGTTTTGTCTTTGCGTATGCATTCTACTGTATAGGGTGCAATTTCTGTCCAGTTTGTCTATTTAAAGCAAAGGTTCACCCAAAAAGGAAAGTCTGTCACCATACTGCATATTCATCTTAATGGCTTTATTTTCTCTGTGAATATGCATAAGCAAATGCATAAGCATGTTAAATCTGTGTAGAGGTGGATTCAGAAGGTGTTGGACATCATATGCAGCAGTGTACTTCTCGTTGCATTTTTGTCCAGTGATTGTAGAATCACCTCTGCAATTATGTATTTGAGTTTGAGATTAGTTAGTATGGACATTGTTAACTTGGACAGACTGATTTTGTCAGTGTATAGAGTTTTGTTTTCTTGTTTTCTAGGGATGTGCCACTAACAATAGATGAATCGTGATATTTGAGTCATGATAAGATGCATATTGCAATTTATGTTGTGCATACCTTGCCAGTGTTTTTTTTCTGATTTAATAACATATAGAACACTTTGTATGTATGCAGCTATGCTACAGTAACATTCACCTCAGCACTGATAAAAAACAAAACAAGGTTCTTTTTAAAGTTGCCATTATTGCACAATAGATTATTCAGGATATTGAGTGCATCCAGATATTTCTACAGACACACACCCCTGAACTACTGTGCAGTGTGGAGTTTCATGAAGAAGAGCCTGCATCAGAATGATCTCAAATGTTGGAGGTGAAAGCAGGCGATGGATCAGAGACCTCACACAGATGGATGGAGGGAGGGAGTGAGAGGGAGGAAAAGGGAGTGTTGTACACAGAGGCCTGAACAAACAGTGGAGGATGAGAAATTCCTCAAACTGCGCCATGGGCCGGATGTTCTCGCTCCAGCAGAGCCGGGTGTGGTGGGATCTGTAAACACTGCTCTTTGATACGGGCTGATAGAGTTACAGTACCACCACACCACTGCAATACAGATCTCGGAGTAGTGTTTGTTTCTCTGTTATGTTGAAAAAATGTGTATGCAGTATATAGACTACTGGTCAAAAGTTCAGAATAAATAAAAATTTTTAATGTTTTGAAATTATGCTTACCAATGCTAATGAAAAATACAGTAAAACAGTAATATTGTGAAATTATTATTACAACTTCAAATAACTGTTTTCTATTAGAGTATATTGTTAAATGTAATTTATTTCTGTGATCAAAGCTCTATTTTCAGCATCATTACTCCAGTCTTCAGTGTCACATGATCTTCAGAAATCATTCTAATATGCTGAGTTGCTGCTCAATTATCAGTTATTAAAATCGGTTCTTATTATTATTAATGTTTTTGCTGCTTAATATTTATGACTTTTTTTCTTTGATGCATAAAAAGTAACATTCTAAATGTCTTTGTCACATTTGATCAATTGAATGCATCCTTGCTGAATAAAAGTATTAATATTAGTAGTAGTATTATTAATCATACTTACCCAAAGTTTAAAATGGTATATCATGGTGTCAACAAAAATATTAAACAGCACAATACATTTTTCTTGAGCATTCAGCTTTGAGCAATAAATTATATTTTAACATACATTCACATAGAAAAGGTATTTTAAATTGTAATACTATTTCACAATATTACTGTTTTTAACTGTATTTTACTGAGTAGAAGACACTTCTATCAAAACATTAGAAATCATAATTATTTCAAACTTTTGATCAGAATTCAAACCTATTTTCCTTTTCGTTACAGTGACCAATAAGAAGCCAGCGCAGGTGTTCCTCACGAAGGTGAAGCAGTTTGAAGGCTCCTCGTCTTTCGTCAGGAGATCACAGTGGACCATCAGTCAGCTGCGGCAGGTCAACGGCATCGACTCCGTCCGAGTGAGTAGATGGGCTCTTGCTCCTTCAGATGCTGTGTTCTGTTGGATGCCATTGATCTTTGACTGCCTCTCATCATCCAAAAATGTTCAGGATTGCCCAGAGTTTGACTTGATATTTGAGAACGGATTCGACCAGTGGACTGCGGGTTCAGCTGGAGAGAAGTGCGTGTTTGTCCAGGTCCTGCATCACACATGTCAGCGGTTCATCCCCGAAAGAAAACCAGAGTTCATCAACTGCCACCCCAAACTGCTGGGAGGTGAGACGTCCCGTTCAAGCTTACTGTGCACCCTCTCTTTCACTATACACTACTTTTTTGGATTTTTTTTAATAAAAATTTTGGTAACACCTACAAAGAATTCCATCCCCGTCAGTCAATCAATCAATCAAATAGAGGGTCTATTGTATGCATTTGGCTCATAATTGTATATAGTGGCTGGTGAAACTATTGTTCAATTATTGCACTACTATACTGTAGTAACAAAAAACAACAGGTTTTTAAAAATGTTACTTTCTGTTTTCTTGTTTGGATTTTTGATTATTGCTAGAAAATCATCTTTTTAAAAATTGGATTTTCAAACTTTATTTAAAAGTCCAAAAATTTGATAACATACTGCAAAAAACCCCCGACTCATATAATATTCATTTGTAGAGGTCGACCGATATGGGTTTTTCACTGGCCGATGCCAATATTTAGAAATCAGGGCAGCCGATGACCGATATATGATGCTGATTTTTTTTGCCGATATGTTTGGCCAATATGTCATAAAAGTGAGTTTGAGTAAATGATTATTGCAGGGTACAAGATAGTAATAGCAGTAGTAGCCTAATTCTGAGTAATAATACATGGCTCAAAACTTAAGCACCTTCTCAAAACAGTTCTGAAGCATACTTTTTATTTATGTTTGCTGACAGACCCCAGTGTTTCCCACAGACTGCAAATGCAAATTCATTCTCCGCCAGCAGGAGGCGCTGCTGGAGCGGGAGATATAGCTATGTCCCCGGTAACGGCTGTAATCAAATAAGCACTGCGCTCACAAACGCTACTTTATCAGGCGTTACAGGAAAGACTAAATGAAAATGACATCGAAGCTTTTCTGAAGACGGTCGGTTCTTTTCAAAGATACATTCATGATTTTGAAACATGCAGTGCTCAGTTTATTCAACGAAGTATAAGCCTTTTGGAAAATCTATTTGTGGGGAGCCGCCACAAATAACTCAATGTATGGGAAACACTGGACACTGCTATAAGTCAAATGGCCAAGTGATAACAAAAATAAAAGAGTTCACACATATTACACAGCCTGCTGCTCATAACTGCTTAAGAGTGCGCTGGCCACAAGGGATGACATCGTGGATGCTATTGTCGGACCTACACACACATTTCACGTGGAAAGTTAACGTGCACGTTATAATCAGCCCAGAAGTTTCATCTGAATTGCAGCTTTCACATGCAAATGACTTGTTGCACTTATGAATTTGATAACTTTCCGGCATCAATTCTAGTAGGGTAAAACGTAATTACGCTTTCGAAACGGTCTGTTTTGCCCTGCCATCATTAGCTGAAGCGGTGTGTGATCAAGAAGCGGCTGCAGAGTGTGAGCTGCTCCGTCTCTCACGCAGCCAGAGAGAGATTCTCCGGAGCTCTGCAACAACGCTTAGCTGCCCGCAGATGCGCCTGCCTATAAATCGGCCTAATTTGCAGCACAATCGGCCGATGCCGATTACTTAAAAAATGCCAAAAATCGTCCGATTATCGGCCGGCTTTGGATAAAAGCATCTGCTAAATGTAAATGTATAATATTTTTCACAGTTGCAGGCAAACTGTTTGTGTAAAGTTCTTTATTATTCCACTGTATTTTCTGTAGGACAGCAAATCTGTTTTGTTCTGCTAATCATGAGAACTTTTAGCAAGTTTTTTGTGTGTCTTTGATGTTTATAGCTTATAACTCATGGACATGATTAATGGAGGGTTTTCTTTTACTATAATTACCCTGACACTCACTTTATTTCAGATTCTTTTCTGTTTGGTGACATATTACTGGATGTAATTTAGAGGTGTAACAATACATTCATGTTCTCAATGCATCCTGCTTATGCAACTACAATGATCTTGACATATGACTCTTAAATAATTAAAATCTATTTAAAATGCCAAAAGATTCTCATTTCATGTAGCTGACAATGATACTTTTTTTTGTAATAAATTAGGGTGCATGTACTATACAGGATTGCACCTGTTTTTGTCTGCTGTCACCTTGTCTAACATTTTTAAGGTGCAGGCATTGATGTGGGGTTATATCTGTAGATTATGCACACATTTGTTTAATCAGGACTTGTTCTGCATTGCACCAATGCGAGCGCAGACCGTTCACGTTTGTATGCTACAATTAAAGTGTTGAAGGTGCTGATGCTATTTTAACGGTATCCTGGGGGAAGCTCCCTCCTTCTCTTCCCAGCTGCCACTTATTCCTCCCACTTAATAAATACCAGCTTTTAGTGTTGCTGCTTGTCTTTATTCTTTTAGTGGCAGTCTGACTCAGTGACTGTGTTACTGTGGGAAGCAGAGTTGAGGCTCCTGAGGGTCAGATGCCTGGTTCTGTTGCCTGGCAGAACTCAGTGAAGCTGAGCAAACATGACTGTGAGACATAATGATAATGGATATAAAGATATATAATGGTTTTTAGTCACGATCTAGCTCATATTTTGAATCATTTCTTAAAAGGATTTTATTTCCCAATCTTCAACCTTTAACATCCTTGGAACTTTTCCGTTGCTCAGAAGCTTCTTTATAGTGGGAAAATAATCTTTAGTTTGGCAAAATGTTCTTTACACTAAGAAACAAAAATAATTGTTTTAAGAAATTATCATTGAAGGGCTCTTTGGGGGACCAAACTATTTATTTTTATTATTTATTTATTTATTAAATATGTTGTTTTAGTTATTTTAATACTTCAACTTTAAATAAAAATGACAAATGTTGCCTTGACAACTAGCTGAAATAAATTGTTTAATTTTTTTATTTTTATTGTAGGGGTGTAACGGTACACACATTCATACCAAGAATTTTTGGTACAGGTCTGTCGGTTCAGTACGCATGTGTACCGAACAAATACAGCATCGTTTTAACCACTGCATGAGTGGAACTTTTGTTTGAATTTCCTGAAAAAATGGACATCATTTGAAAGATGATACTTTGTTTCTTATCAAAAGAAACAATTTATACAACTGGAAGTTTCCAATAAAGTTCCACTCATGCAGTGGTTAAAACTATGCTGTATTTGTTCGTTACACATGCGTACCGAAAGATCTTAGCTGATGCTAACTGGCAAGCTAACTAGCTACCTGATGCTAACTTGGTCATTTTTAAATATAAAATCCAAATATTTTTATTCAACCAACTAGTTAGAATACATTTGATGGAAAAACGAAGGATTTGATGTTCAGAACAGAATAACTACAGTAATTGCCCATTCCCCGCTCGAGGCGTTTTACTCAACAGACTATGTTTGAAAAAAAAAAAAAAAAAGTCATTCTGAAAATATACTTATATTTTTATTAAATAACACATACTCCCTATCTACAGGCCCTACTGTTCTCATATAATATATAACTGTGATGTTCTACAAAACGACAAATTTTAAAACACTTTTTTTCTTACTGTTGAAAATGAGATGATTTAGTGTGAAATCGGTTTTCATCACCAGTGTAAGCTTCATGGTGAAAACTTCTACATCTCTCTCGTCAACATAGTCCACAGTTACAATACACATTTATCTTGTGGTTATTTTGGGAATTACAGTAGGGGGGCGTTTCCCCCACTCTACACTACTTCTTTATAGCATGACAAAAGATTATTTAAACATGATTTTAAATGTACTTTAAAGATTTGATATTATTACAAAGTGCACTTTTTAAGGTATGTTAAGAAACATAGTCATGAAAGTGTCTCTCTTTACACTGAAAGGCACAATATGTAATTTTCATAATTTTCAATTCATAATTATTGATTATATTCTTTTTAATTTTAAGCAAAAACTGTCTGTACTCTGATTTTGCTTTAAATGTTTAAAGCAAATTGCTTTGTTAGACTGGGGGGGCATTTTAAAACGCCCCTTGGTACAAATGTAATTTTTCGAATAAAATAAACTCTGGACATTTTTCATACTTTGTTTATAATTTATGTCATTGTCACTAAAACTATGATAACTTTTCTGAACACATTTAACACATTTAAAATTACACAGTCCTTAAGGGCGGTGTTTCCCCCACTCTACCCTACACTTGTCTGATGTGTTGACTAACACACTAAAGCACATGTAAAGTATTTAATAATTGAACTTCGGTGTGTTATTTGACGTTAATGTATTTTAAATGTACAAAATTGTAACTTCATCATTGCAACTATATTTAAATACATGACGCACAAGTATTAATAGAAATTACTTTAAAGTACCGTATTGTCCCGAATATAAGACGATATTTTTTTCTTGGAAATACATCTGAAAAAACGCGGTCGTCTTATATTCAGGGTCTAGACTTTGACATGTCAATAATACACCCACAACAACATAAAACGAGTGTGCCATGAAATACGTAATGTAATGCGTGTTGTAAAGATCGTGAGTTAAAACAAAAGAAAAAGAAAAGCTTACAGCTGCATGAGTCGTGACTGTCACGTTAGCCTGATGGCACCAAACTCTTTGTGATTTTAAAACGTAAGACAGTACCCAGATTTGAAGACTACAGTAAGATTTAACTTCTGCTGTTAATAAGATGTTGGTAGGCTACTATTAGATGAATAGCCTAAATGTCCTAATTCAGATGGGCTACCTGTTTTTTTTTTTTTTATGGTATATCAAAAAGTGCATATTTTTTAAATGTGAATGTTGTTAAATTTGACCAGTTTTTACCATACTTTCAAAACAAAAATTAAAATAGGAAAAATATGCAATATGATAATAATTGAAGACAAAATGTGTTTTACTGAGAAAAAACAAGATTTGGTTTTTAAAAAGCCTTTTTCCAAAAGGTACATCTGGGAAAAGGGGGCTCGTCTTATAATCAGGGTCGTCTTATATTTGGGCCAATACGGTATATTTTGGTTAGTTCACCCAAAAATGAAAATTCTCTCATTAATTACTCACTCTCATGTCGTTCCAAACCCATAAGACCTTCATCATTCATCTTTGGAACACAATTAAGATATTTTTGATGCTTTCTGAGAGCTCTCTGACCCTCTATAGACGACAATGTAATTAACACGATCAACGCACAGAAATGTAGCAAGGAGATCGGTAAAATAATCCGTGTGACATCAGGGGTTCAACCGTAATTTTACAAAGCTACGAGAATACTTTTTGTGTGCAAAGAAAACAAAACTAACGACTTTATTCAACAGGATACGTTTTCTACGTAGTTTACGCATTGATCTGAATGAAAACAACGTATCACAGCTGACGCAGCTGACACAGAACAGCATACGCTGTTTACGTTCAGTGGATACTCTCCAAAATGGCGCTACAGGCTGGAGGAGATGAATTGTTGAATAAAGTCGTTATTTTTGTTTTCTTTGCGTACAGAAAGTATTCTCATAGCTTCGTAAAATTACGGTTGAACCCCTGATGTCCCATGGATTATTTTAACGATGTCCTTGCTACATTTCTGTGCGTTGATCGTGGTAATTACATTGCTGTCTATGGAGGGTCAGAGAGCTCTCAGATTCCATTAGAAATATCTTAATTGTGTTCCGAAGATGAACGAAGGTCTTACGGGTTTGGAACGACATGAGGGTGAGTAATTAATGAGAGAATTTTCATTTTTGGGTGAACTAACACTTTAAGTGTCTGAAAACATTTAATTCAGTTCACACATATTTCTCTAAAGTATGTTGTTTCTGTAATAAGTATTTCTTTTTCACAAGGTGTTGCTGCTAGCACACATTCTGTGGAGGTGTTTTCCTGACGCGTTTCTCCTGATGTGTGTGTAGGGAACAGCATCCTGCACGAGGCAGCAGACAGCGTTAGCAGTGCAGTGCAGAAGGCCAGTCAGGCGCTGAACGAGCGCGGCGAGAGACTGGGACGCGTGGAGGAGAAGACGGGCGAGATGATGAACAGCGCCCAGCATTTTGCCGACACTGCACACAAGGTGATGTGTGCCACATGTCTGTCTTTACTCTTAGCCAGTTTCTGCAGACTTTCTAAAACATATTCAAGTGAAAACACATTTGTGCTGCTGTGCTGCCTTCATGTGGCGACTGCATGAAAGCAACACAGCCGCTGCTCAGAAGTTTGTTTCTGAAAGAAGTCTCTTCTGCATTAATTTGATCAAAAATACAGTAAAAACTGTAATATTTTAAAACATTATTTCAATTTGAAATAATTGCTTTGAATATATAATAAAATTTAATTTATTCCTGGTGACAAAGCTGAATTTTCAGCATCATTACTGCAGTCTTCAGTGTCACATGATCTTCAGAAATCATTCTAATATGCTGATTTGCTGCTCAAGAAACATTTCTGATTATTAATATTGAAAGCAGTTGTGGTGCTTCAAGTTTTTGTGGAAACCATAATAAAAAATTTTAACATTAACATAATAACATTATGCATGTTTTTACTGTCACTTTTGATCAATTAAATGCATAATTGCTATTGATTTTTATAAAGCATAAATTATAATTTTTTTCTTTACTTTAATGCATCATCAAATGAACCAACACATGTATATGAAACAAGCATGCAAAGGACAGGAGATTATGTAACATGATGTTTTTCTTTTTTTTCCATTTGTTAGACATTTCATACTCTATTTGTACAGTAAATTTGCAGTTTGATCTTTAAAAGACTCTCTCTCTCTCTCTCTCTCTCTCTCTCTCTCTCTCTATTTAGCTTGCCATGAAGCACAAGTGTTAGGCCTTTGCCACCCCTGCTTAACCGCTGCTGTCAGAGAGCGTTACGGGACATGCATGAATATCATATGAAGGACAGTGTGTATCAACATGGCTGAGGCCTCGAAAAGATCATGCGTCCTCTACACTTGGATGGGATACTTGGTCATTGCAAGCTTAAACAAAGCCTTACTCCTGTGTCCTCACTCTGACAGACCTTAATTATCATTTTAAAAGATTCATACAAAAGATGTAAAATAGTTTCAAGGTTCAAATACCTGCTTATATATGATATCCCTTCTTTTTTGTTTGCTTGTTTTAACCTATTTAGTGTTTGATAAGTGCCATCGTGAAAGAATTTTAGTGCGATTATTAGAAATATATGTATTTTTTTGTAAAAATCTATCTAAAGGGTTTGAAAAAATAGCTTATTCTATTTTAGCATAATCTTTTTTTTTTTTTCTTTTAAAAAAAAGAAAGTATTTTGCTGATTTATTTTTATTACTAATTACATTAATATTACTATTAATGGTGCAGTGACCCACATTTTAAATAATGTAGTTCATCTTAAATTTAGTGTTGGAAAATGTACACAGAAGTGCCCTGAGAAAAGACAAGATTCACACCCTGAGATGTGTTACGCTGCAGTTCAGGAAGGGCTGTGTCTTAACTGGATGTGTGAGATGTGTAAGTTCACGTACAGTGAAAGAATGAGAGGAGACGGTGAGGCGATGCAGCTGCAGCAGTGGGCCAGTCAAAGAAAATATCACATGGCTATGGTTAAACTTGACTCCAAATGTAGCGTTGATTTTTAAACCGAGCGATTTCTGCGTACCTTCAAGTACCAAACGTCTTTGCAGCAGTTTGATAGCTGTTTGATTTTATTTCTTCATTTTCCCGTACAGCTCACAATACAGATCTGGAACCAGCCAGAGCTACTACAGAAACATGCACGCACACTGCAAATATGTACAACATAAACTGACAGTCTTTTGTCTTAGGGAATATTGCAGGTCTCTGAGGAGCATAAAAAATTAGCTCTTTTTTTTCTCAAACTTTACTAAAAATATATGCAGCTATTAAAATAACATGAAACGTGTAACATGAATGTTTACACATAACAAATTGTGTATTGAGGTCATTTAAAGTATTACAATTTTTACAATTTTATCTGGTCAAGTTATTATCTGATGCATTTTAAACTGGTTTTGTCTTGAGAAACCTCTGCCAAAAAAGCATATGGTTTATACTTCTTTATTGTATTTTGCTATGTTATTTTCCCATTTGATTGTTTGCGAATAGATAATGGAAAAAGTGACCAAAGTCTGTATAGTTCTCAGTTTTATGTTTTGCATTTAATAATCAAATTATTCATAATCATTCACAATAAATATACATAATCATGTCTGTGCATAGAACCCTGCCTTAAAATTGCATTCAGAACACTGTTTTACTTCTGTCATTTGTAACATGATTTACAGTATAGCTTATTTTATGTTAAGAGGCATCAGCAGTCATATGGTTTGTTTTATGGATGTTGAGAACAGCTCTGATGTACTGATGTCTGACTGCGTGGCTGGGGAATACTGCCAGAGACTGGCGTCATCGTCAGAGAAAAACAGATGAATTATGAAATTGTCATGTGCATCCCAGGCCTATATGTTCATGTTTTTCATGTTACGCTTTCATGATGAAAAACAACCCGTTTGCAGTGATCTGGCCACATTTTTGAGAATGTAGAATAGCGTTATCTCAGTCACTAGGTTGTAAGTCTTTTTGTTAAGGGAATATTAAGATATTGTTTAACCTTTAATACAATGTGCCTGTGCTACTGTGTGGAAAATTGAATAATGAATGGTAATAAATGACATAATCATATCTCGGGTCTCGTAAGTACATTTGAAACACTCATTTCGATGCAAGAAGGCATATTTGGGATTATGTGATATCAAAATGTCTGGGCTTTTCCCCAGAAGCTTCTTTATTTTATTTTATTTATTATTTTTATGTTATTTATTTTTCTTTCTTATTTAAACAATTTTTCTCGGGTTTCTCATGAGAACACAAAGGGGTTGGCTGAGTGCACTGTGAGAGTTTCCCATTGAGGAAGCTCTGCTCCAGCCTGGCCCTTTCCTTGAGGGATGGGAGTCAGGTATCTGCACCTTGTGGTTTGGGTGCTGCATCTGCCGAGGCAGCATGGTGGCTCAAATCATGGGGATTGTGGAGTTTCTCAGAGGAATTTGAGACAGGTGTTTCCATTTATCATGCTTCATCCATTGATATCAAATCTGGCTGTGAATCCACTACTGGCTGTGTCTAGCTCAATGGAGGTGGATGTGGTCAGTGTGGAAGCAGGTGTGTCTGAGGCTAGCTCATCCCTATATATGAGGAGCTGCTGGAGGTGGTCACCTAGGCCACAGTCAAGCTCAGCTTTGATTGGCCGGTGGGATAACAGGAAGTGGCTTGTAGTATATTAGATGCAACTTCCTTGTAGGAGCCTTCTGTTACTCCCCGATCTCCGTACTGAGGTGTCGGAAATGTGGTAGAACCTGTACTTGGCTTGCATCGTTAATTATTGCTTCTAATTATTTGAATGTAGATGGGTTGAATAAGCATCAATACATGACGATGCCCCGGGTTGAAGAAACTCTGACTCTTCAGTTATATCTTATCTAGTTATTTCTCCCCTGGTGTGGAATTGTCTTTGAAGGCTCCAGCAATGCCCTCCAAGCCCTGTAGGGTAACATCCAGCTTGGAGGGCAAAGCTTATGCAGCGGCAGGTCAGGCTTGGGGTCCCTGCATGCCATGGAGGTGTTGCAGGCCTACCAGCCTTGGATGAGTGTGAGGGTGTATCCCTTAAAGTGATAAAAGAACTTCTTCAGGCCACAGATCTGGCTGTCCATGCCACCTGGCATATGGTTCATATCATGGGCTGATCAATGTCCTCTATGGTTGCCACAGAGAGGCATCTGTGGCTAAATTTGTCTGGAATCGAGGAGAAAGACAATGAGGAGTCAGGGGTTGAGGAGGCACACCAAACCCAAGATGGATCTGAGAGCTGTCATTTCGGCTAGAAAGACAAAAAGAAATAGTTGCCTTGATGCCTGGGGGCTCAGGAGTGTGTGCCTCTTGCCTTTCTCTCTTCGTAGGGTGTCAGGGCACAAGAGGTTGTTTCTTGGGGTTGGCTCCTTCTAATGGTTCTCTCCTAGTGTGCTGTTAAAAAAGAGAGAGAGAGAACCTTTTACAATAGTGGTGTCCTTTTTTCAAGCCAATATTCTCAGGAGAGTGTATTGCCAACTTCACTACCAATTATGTTTCTGGGGTGAGCTGTCTCTGACGGGCTGCTGGAGTGTAGCACCTGCCCCCTTCTTGGAGGATATTGCGGTGCAAGTGGTGGTTAGGGCTGTTTGCCCCTAAAGTATACCATGCGTTCAATCAGTCCCACATTTGCAACATTCAGCTGTTCCCTGCCAGTAGGCTGTTTCAGGGCACCAAACAGAACAATATTGGGCATCTCCTTTCAATGAGTCCCCAGTTCACTGTTTCCAAGCACTGAACAAACTCTTTCTCTCCTCATAGATATGCAAGGTTGTTGCCTCCTCCTAAGTGTGTGGCAGCATAATGGCTTCTGCCTGGATCCTGGGGACCATAGAGTAGAGGTTGCAGAATCAGGTCATTACATGCCACCTTGTTGTCTCAATGGCATGTTTCACATAGGTTAGGTTAGGTTAGGTCTAGCTGATTATTGTGTTCCAATTTAAGGACTGGTTTATCACGATAAGTCTAGAGGTTGCATACTGATCTGCCTGGACATAAGAAGTTCCCCCATGCTGCTTCTGAAGGAAGCAGGCCTGTATCAGGTTCTTCTGTTAGTCTAGTCTTGTCACTTCCCTGGCATGTAGTGTATGCATCTGCCTATTGAGATTATTGACTGGCTGATGTTGGCTCAGTCCGATGATTAGCATTGACCTTGCACTGTTCATATAGGGTGCCTAGGTGTGAGGGAATCTCAGGAGAGGTTATTTGCATCAAGCTGGGCCATGGCAGATGTGTCAGCCTCTTTGAGGACTGCTAGGTCTGAAAGTAACTGCCTTTTTTACTTGAGGCCATTCTGGAATTACTTTATTGTGCTATGGTGTTACGTGCAAATGCATTTGTTTTCTAAATTTGTGGACAGACACCAGCTTTTACCTAGGATTACATGGATCGATGGATGCCTCTTTTATGACGGTCCTTGGTGATTTTATACTTTAAGTAACTATGTGGTCTGAACCCCGGCTTCGACCTAGGGTCTCACACTTGAGGCATGTTGCCATAGTTATCTCAATGGACAGTTCTTTTATGATAATCCTAGTTGACTGTTTAGTTGAAGTATATATCCCTAGGGGCTACCCTTTTTTGGGTTACAGGGTTATGCACAGTTGCATTTGTTCCCTAACTATATGGTCTGGCTCGGGCTTTGACCTGGGGTTCTTCAATTGAGGTGTGTTGCTATTGCTGCCATGACTGACACCTCTCCTGTGGGCTGGGTTGTCCAGCCTATGGCTTCTGGGAAGGGTATTTGTTGGGAAATGTTCCTCCCAGACCTGAAATGTTGCCACGTGGTGGCAGTTTTGTATATCAGTGACTGAGGCAGGGCAGTCCCTGTAAGCCTCAGGGTAATACGCACAAATCAGTTTGTTAAATCCCGATTATGTGGACAGATCTCAACTTTGCTTAAGGTCCCACACCATTTTTATTTTCATTTTATTGACAATGTTATCATTGATGATGTCTTTCAATTAGGATTTATTTCTAGTGTACTGTATATACCCGCCGAAGCAGGGGCCCAAGAGGAAAGCACCACCTTCGGATGGCGGAGGTATGGCAGAGTGAAAGCAGTCTCTCGACCAAGGTCACTACCTTCAGACAATTATAATCTGGGAACTCCATGACGTAGGTGCCCTTTTATGGCCTTGATGATGTGCCACACTCTGTGTGACTGCCAGACAACGAAATTGGCATTTTCACACATGCTTCAGACACTAGTCACACCGGAGGCATTCCCATAACGTTAAAACCAGGACGCAGCATCTCATTACATACACAACCCTGAGACGCTTCTTGGGGGTGTTCAATACTTTGCCAGATATCTTTTTTTTTCTTTTTTCGTCTAATTTATTTTTTCATCAACATGTCCCTTTAGGTCAGGGGTGTCAAACTCAATTCCTGGAGGGCCGGAGCCCTGCAGAGTTTAGATTCAACCCTAATTAAACACACCTGATCCAACTAATCAAGTCCTTCAGGCTTATTTGAAAACGACATGGTATGTGTGTTGCAGCAGGGTTGGAACAAAACTTTGACACCCCTGGTTTAGGTGCTCCATAAAGTTAAGTTTTCATTGTGCAAAACTATTTTAGACATTATTTTTTGTTTATTCTATTATAATGATCATACATGCAGTT